GGCGAGGAAGCGAGCGCTGTGGCCGCAGCCCGCCCTGCTCTGTCCTGTCTTTATTGACGCCGAAGGTGTCATCACCTCCCAACAGGCACCTGAGGGACACTCACATGAGATGACACACACGCACACATACGCACACACTGTGTATATATATGTTCTGGTTAATTCTCACGGGAGGATGTTTTCCGGTGATTTCTCCAGCGCAGAGAGGGAGGAGGAGCGGGAGAGACAGAAGGAGGAGGTGGAGAGAGGGAGAAAGGAGGATCAGGAGAGGGCGGGAGGCCCCAGGAAGGAGAGACCCGGGACTGGTGCCTCCCGCGGGGAAGAGTCTGTGCCCAGGGTGGCCCTTGCTCAGGACCAACCTCCCAGGACTCTGTTGCCCCAGGGCGGTGCTCTAGTCGCTGGGCGCCCCGTCAGGGCAGCAGCCTGTGTCAGGGGACTGTTCCCCAGGCTCTCTGACCATCAGCCTGTCAGCCGCAACCCCGGGTTGGGGGTCAGATGGTGGGGCCCCACCCCACCCCCCACAGTGCACCGGCTCCCAGACAGGCTCCCCCAGGAGAAGCCCCCCCCCCATCAGGGTGCAGGAGGCCAGCGGGAGAGGCGTCTCTCTCCCTCACTCTCTCCTGCCCTCTCTCTAAAGAGTAGCCCCTCCCTTCCCGCCCAGCTCAGTGCCTGCCCCTCAGAGCCTGGCTGTGGGCACAGGGCGGCCCTGGGAGGCTGTGCCCTCACACACCCGCCTGGCTCAGCCCTCACCTCCTCAGGCCGCACATGCCCTCAGGGTGCCCCCTCCCCTCCTGCTGGCAGTGCGCCTCTTCCTCCCCTTTGCAGTCATTAGTTAAATCTTTTAATTAAAATGTTCTCCATTTCTACACACTTCCACTCACTGTGCAGGTTTTTTGGTTTTGTTTTTCCAAAGATGATTCAACACTGTCCCCGCCCACTGGTTCTCCTGTGATGGGTTTGCCCGCCCCTCCCACAGGTGGGCCTCCCTCCCCTGGGACCTGTGACCAGCTCTGGGGACAAGAACAGGATGGAGGTGACAGAGCCTGACTTCTGTGGTTCTGACATGAGGTGCCTGTGGGTCTGACATGAGGGGCCTGTGGGTCTGACCTGTGACCTTGGCCCTCGCCCCCTGGAGCCAAGGGCCCAGCTGGGAGCAGCACCCACCTCACAGCCCAGAGACCTCCCAGCCTGCAGCCAGCACCAGCTGCTGCCCAGTCAGGGACCATCTAGAATGTTCTGGCCCGGCTGGGCCTCCAATGATCCTGTCCTACCCCATGTCACATGGAGCACAAGGGGGGCCGCTGAGTGCAGTCAGCCCGCAGAACAGGAGGAGGAAAGGCTGTGACTGTGGGATTGTGGTTTCCGGGCCACAGATGCTGGGAGCACAGCACATAGGAGTCACTGCTGTGCGCGTTCCCATCATTCCCTGTCCTTCCTGTCACACTGTGCACATCAGGAGAGCTGGGGTTTTCCGTTGTGTCTTTGCTTTAAAGATGTTTAGAGAGAGAGGACGGGAGAGGGAGAGGGAGATAGAAACATGGATCGGTTGCTTTTGCAAGCCTCCTACTGGGGCTCAAGCCAGAAACCATGGTATGTGCCCTAATGGGGAATGGAACCTGGGACTGCTTGGTGCATGGCGCCCCCTCACCCATGAGCACACCGGCCAGGCTGGAGAGAGGGTGTTCTGTTTCCATTACACAAGGAGCAGGCCGACAGGAAGCCTGGCACTGAGGCCTCACTACATATTAGGGATGGATGGATGAGTAGATGGGTGGATGGATGGATGGATGGATGGGTGGATGGAAGGGTGGATGGATAGATGGGTGGGTAGGTGGATGGATGGATGGGTGGATGGATGGTTAGATGGATGGATGGATGGATGGATGGATGAGTGGATGGATGGATAGATGGGTGGTGGATTGATAGATGGGTGGAT